AGCCAGCAGAATGGTGGGAGCTCACCCAGAGGAAAGGATCAAGTAGAGAGAGCAGCAAGAAAGGGAAGAGGGAGAAGTCCTGGAGAGAGCCTGATTACAGTACCTGGAGGAAGCAGACACTTCGGAGGCCTCTACAGAATGGCTTTGGCCCTGGCTTCACCTTCACAGTGCTTGACCCAGAAGGGAGGCTTGTCATACCAATGAGCTCTTACTTGGATTCATTTGCAAGGTCTCATTTTCCTGTCCCAGTCATATTCCCAAAAGAGCCTGGGCTCTGGGGTCAGACAAACCTTGGCCCTTACCTTGAGCAAGTCATTTCACCTCTCTGACCCTCAGTTTCCTCATCTGTAAAGTAGGATTAAAGCAATACTTACTTCTCAGTGGTGTCATGAGGAGACAACTGTGCCCTCATACCAATTCCTGGCACGTCATAAGGTCTGAATAAATACAAACTGTAGTTCTACCTGATTGATCATGATGCAGTAGGTGACAGGCATATGGGGGCTCACTACTCTCTTCTATTTACTTTTGGTTATTTTTGGAATGATAATAATAAAACTTATTTTTTTTAACTCCTGCTCATATAACTTTCTGCAATTGCCGCTATGGTACATGCTCCTTTGGGAAGTGCTCTCATTCATTAGAATATGACAGTAACAGGAGACCAAAATATTCCTCCAAAATTCTCCCCTTTCACCTGCCAGGTTCATCCTCCCCAATAGTCAGAGGGGCCCTCTCCTGCACCCCAGCCCATCCTGATTCTACGCGGGTTCCAATGCCAACATCAGAGCTTCTAAATCAGGTATAGGAAGGAAATATTGAAACTTTAATTGTATTTATTTTAAATCTAAAACTAAAAAGGCAAGCATTACTAATACTTAAAATATGGATTAAAACTGTTCACTCTAAGAGTTAAAGTGCATAGCCTTACCTGTGACTCATGAAAGAACATATTTTCTTGTCTAAGATTCTGGAAAAATTGCAAGTTGAAGGGAAACACATGGATTAACTCTTGTTTCTTTTTGTTCCCATGAGAGGAGACCTGTCTCCAGACTTGGTTAGCCAGATGGAATATAGATACTGACTTGAATGTGCAGATCCTTTGATGAATATAAATACAAAAAAAGGTAGAATCTTTTAAAGGTATGGGTTGACAGGATACATAAATTATTCATCAGTCAAAAATGCATATTGGGTGTGAGTGCTTCAAAGTGTTGGTTCAATACAGTCAGTGAAGTTTGGAGCAACTGGTCTCCACAATACACAATGTGGCCACTCCATGGTGGGATCATGGCTTAATACAGAGGGATGCCTGATGTTTTGTCTTTGGTACCCAAGAAAGCCATCTGCTTGCACAGATAAGAGGAAAATGTCACAGAAGGCATAACTTCTATTTGAACATCCAGTGCCAGCTGTGTATCTCATGCGCTTGGGCAGTCCTGAAAAGAATGAGTCACATAGAAGCAGATCCTGGGAATGAAGAAAGAGCCCCCTTGCCAATCAGGGACAGCTATACTCACTTCAGCTAAACCCTCTGCACCTGTAAGATGTCCCCTCTCCACCCCAAGATGGAGAAGGGAGAGCTGTTATAGGAGAAAGTAATCAGTGGGCCCTAACAAGTAGGGGGTTGCTGTTGAAGGCAGGTCCAGATGAAGCATTTAGAGTTTGTGATTTATCTAAGGATCCTGCTGGGCTATCAACTCTGACCCCAAGGCCAGGATATTCAGCCAAATTCCTCAGGAGTGTATGCTGTCTGGGAGTGTCCAGGGCCAAAGAACCAGGGCTGACTGTCCTCATCTAACTCTGCAGAGGGTTCTGCAACTCCCTACAGAGAAGAAGGGATGGGAAGTGAGCCCCACCCATCTGCTCTCCTCTCAAATGTTTGGGAACCCTGGGAGGTGGATGTGCCTATCTGTGCATTCAGGCAGGGGCTTGGCCTGGAGGTCTAGGTTGAATTCCCAGTTCAGTCTCTTATAAATTTTGTGAACATGGGCCAGGCACTGGACTTCTCTGAGCCCTTGTTTCCCCACCTCCCACATAGACAGATAATACCTCTCCTCTTTCCTGAGAGATTCCAGCATGATGATCCCAACCTAAGAACACAGTTAGAAATGAACCTGAAAGCATTTAGGAAATTTAAACAATTCTTTATAAATGTGATTAATGATAACTCCCTACTCAACTAGGGGCAAGAATGATAAGTGTCTGGGACAAAGGGTTTCTTGCATTCCACATGCACCCCAAGGATGACGACGAACGAAGCTGGTGGGAGTGGAAAGCCTAGTCTCCCCTTCTTTCCCTGCCTCCTCCTCAGAGAGTTCTCCAGAAAGATCATGGACCATGGACCTCAGTGGACCACCAGAGGCCTGGGACATGGAGAGTATGCAGACAGAAAGAGGTTGCTCCTGAGCTGGCCATGCCTCCTGCTGGCTGCCTCATCAATCTATCATCCTCTTAGCAGCTGACACCTCTGGCAGCACCTCCCAGCATCCTGGCATTAGCATTGCAAGAAGCCTGGTTGCACCAGAGAATACAGATGGAGGAATCTCAGATTCAAATTTGTCTAAGTATTATGAACAGCCAGACCCAGGCAAGGCGTTTCTACTGCCCTCCTGCCAAAGAGGAGCAGTAGGGGTTTTGTTAGAAGTACAAATTGCTTCTTAATGCAGAGGATAAAGCTGGGTGCTGGCACCTCCTTAGAAATTCCTCCCGCTCCCAGGAAAGCCACTGCTGCATGTCAATTTTAATTTTTGAAATTTAAACCAAGGGCTTTGTGTGCAAGGTCCATCTCATTGGAGGAAGAAAGAAGAATAAGTCAAAAAGAATTAAGGGCCCACTGGGGATTGCAGATCCATAGCAATTAGACTTCATTTGGGTCTCAGACATTTGGTTTTAATCGCATTTTTGGATGATACAATCGACAAGCCATCAGAAATTGATACGTATGTAACTGTAGACGGGGCTGACTGCCCTCCTCAGTTCCTGGGCTTTGCTGGGTTTGGGCTCCACAATCAGAAGGGGTGGGGTATGGCTGAGGAATTGGGGTTCAGGTTTGGTCTAGAACTACAGAAATGGTGTTTTGTGTGTGTGTATATATGTATGTGTGTGTGTATGTGTGTGTGTGTGTATATTCCAGCTTGCTGTTTTGGGGCCTCTTATCCCTGGACTCAAAGCAGATGCAATCATTGCTAATACTCAAGTGAATGACAATGAAACATTATTCAAATAAAATAAGAGCATAAAGAGGAATAGTGACAGTGACAGGACTCGAAGCAGGGGATATAATAATTATCTTTTAAATGGGAATCACAGTTTTCATATCCTCCAGGAACTAAAGTCAATCACACTGTGATGTGGGGGCTGACATACAACCATTAACATTGTCACACACATGGACCTATGAATGCATGAGTGCTTGTGCATGTGTAACGTAGATTAATGATGACAACCACAACATTATATCCACATAAGCATGTGTGTGCGCGCCTCCAGCTTTACACAGGTACACACTCTGGGGTTTCCCTGCGTATACACATTTCTTCAAACAACTGGTCAAAATGAACTCAATAAGTACTAACAGGTTGTTAACTGATTATTTTATAGATAATTTATTGTTTATTAGAATTAAATGATCTAAAAACAAAACAAAAAAGTGAAAAAATAAGTCAAAACCATGTGGAGTGTTTTCCTACCTTGTGTATGTGGAATGCTGACAGAGGAGACCAAACTCACTCGGGCTCAGAGCAGGTGCCCACAGCACCATGCCTGTGGGAAGGGAAGCCCCCAGGAAAGGGTGTCCCTACCAAAGTGATAGTATCTATCTCTTTCCACACAGTCCTGGGTGAATTCAGAGAGTTGGATGATTCTTAGGTTGCCTCAGTTTACCAGCTCTTCTGAGAGCTGTGGCCTTAGCTGGTGGTGTGAGCAAATGGACAGGTGCTGAGTATACTTTGTGCCTGGGTGGGTTTGTTTCTGATGGACTTCTGTACTTTCTTTTAGGGACAAACACCTCAGACATGACCTGCTGGCAAGTGCCTCATTCTGCCTCCCACTCTGCATCCTCTACCCCTTCCTTCTCCAGAAACTCTTGCCCTTCAACTCCCCCCCCCCCACACAAGGTGGGGAACTTGGAGATTCAGCCACTCCTCTCCTGTCTGTGTCTAATTTTCTCTCCCCCACCTCCTCTGGGGCTCTCCAGTTCAGGGGAGAAATACTCCAGGGAGGGGTGGATGTTGCTATCCCATCTCCCCACATCTTTTCACCCACCTCAGGTGGCAGGGACAAGGCAGTGGCTGACAAGCAGGCACAGATGAGGCTATTCAGGACTCAGTTAAGGTCTTTATGCCAAGGTGGTCATGGAGGTCTGGCCTTGGGGTCACCCTGACAAAAACATCGGACCCCATAGTCTAGAAACATAATTTAATGCATCGCAGTTGGTCTGAGTCAGGAGTATGGTGAAGAGGCGAATTTTCTGTTTGCTGGGATTCTTCAGCGGTGAGGTTTTGACTGATGGACAGGGAAATTTGCACAAGTATTTAGAGTCTCAAAGGACGCCCCAGGGAGCTCATGCTCGTTTTGGCCTACCTCGCTGGCCAGGATTGGGAGGCCTCGGTCTCAGGGCACTCGCAGAAGGAGGGGGGCTGGAAGAGGGCAATCGTTCCGACCGTTCCTGTCCGGTCCAGTCAGGTTTGCAAGTTGTGCTGCCGCCATCACTGCCACTGTCGGCCACCGGCCGCCGGAGTTCAGGTCACGCTCCTCTCACCACGTTGGAGTCGCCCTCCCCCTCCCCAGCTTGGGGACAGGAACCAGGAGCACTGCCCAGAGCTTAGTGAGTCGCAGACACACTGAGGGCGGGAGCGGGACAGGGAGGACAGCAGGAATGTGTCTTTTCCAACGGTGTCAGAAGTATCATGAAGCGAGAGTGGTCCTTGCTAGGGAACAGCCCGCCCCCATGGGTATGGGGCGGCCTGAAGCCACCTCACCTCGCTCTCCCTGCGACCCTAGTCCGGGTACAGAAGAAAGCCGGAGAACGTGCTGTACTTGTTGTTATTGCCTCCGTGCGCCTTCCCGCCATCCAGCTTCACATACACCTCGTCCCCAGCATCGAGGTGCAGCACCACACTGTTACTGGCGTAGTCGTAGTTTTGGTCGGCGTCCTGCGCGATGGCGCTGGCCCGGACCTGGGGACGAACCACGGAAACTGTTGGGTTGGGGCACTTCTGCCTAGGCCCTTGGCCAGCCCCACCCCTGGCGCCCCTCCTTGGCCGCCTTCTGCCCTTGGCTCTGGGGTCCACGCTCCCACCCAGGCTCCACCTTCTCTCTCTAACTTAGCCAACTCCTTCTCGGTCCCCTCTTCTCAGCCAGCAAGACAGGCAAAGAGGAGAGATGAGGCTTCATAAACAATGAACTAGCGGGGAAGGTGAACATTGTAGGGCAAAGGGGCGAGCGGGGCGCACAGGAGGAGCTAAAGAAGAAAGGTTTCTTCTTTAGGAGCCCAAGGGGCTGCAGGCAAAGTACCCAAGTAGCCAGGGAGAGCAGTTTGGGTAGCGGGCCTCTGGGAGCTCCGTGCACAACCACCCACGCTACATTCGAATAAATGCGGCCAAGGTACATTGGGAAGCGGGATCCTGTGGCGCGCTCCCTCCAGGGGTTCTCAGGCGCTTGCAAGCGATGAGAAAGGAGGTTGGTTCCCAAGCATTTCGAGGCGCCGGTCGAAGACAAGGGTCTGCGGGGACCTGGGGGAGGCGACAGGGGTGGGAGTGGGGTGGGGGTGAGGGTCACTGACCTGCCCGTTCTTGCAAAGGTCCGCCCACATGCTGGTACCGTCGCCGCCGCGCATTAGGATGTGGTAGGTGAAGAAGTAGATGCCGCGCACCTGGCAGCTGAACTTGCCGGTAGTGGGGTCGTAGTGATTGCCGAGATTGGTGACCACGTCGTCGAACTTGAGCACCTCGTAGCCTTCGTGAGGGCTCTTGAGACCCACGTAGAAAGCGATCTTTGGACCACTGAAGGCAGCGCTGAGCGCGCCGGTCACTTCGCCCTCAGAGTCGTCGCTGCCCCGGGTTCCGCCACCCACCACCCCGTCACCTCCTGCCGCTCCGGCTGTAAGCTGCAGCCCTGGCAGCCCGGGCCGCCCCGAGTCTCCCTTCTCCCCCGGAGGACCCCTGGGACCAGGAGGGCCCGGCTCTCCAGGGGGTCCCCGCGGCCCAGGCTTGCCAGGTCGCCCGGGGTCGCCCTTGGGTCCCTGGATGAAAGGGGGAGGAGGGTTGGCGCTCAGGTCTTGCATGACTTCCAGGGCGGCAGTGCTGGGTCCGGGTGGCGACGCCTTGGAGCCCGCGGGGCCCCCACCGGGTGCGGCGCTGTATGGATCGCAGATCATGCGGCAGGTGCCCATCATCTCATAGTGCGCTGCTCCGGGGGATGTCGCCTGTAGCAGCAGTGGCACCGCGATGAGCAGCCCCAGTGCCATGGCCAGGAGCACGCCGACGGCCGCCAGGCAGGCGCGCCGCCGCCGCTGCCACTGCCGGGAAGCGACCGCCACCAGCTCCTCCTTGCCGCCCGGAGAGGTAATGGTGGGGCGGCGCGGGCGGCCCCGCTCCCCGCGCTCGGGGGCCGACTCCGCGGGTCCTGGACGCACCTCCGACGTGGTGACCCCCTACTCTGGACGCTCAACTACTTCAGCGAAAGATACCCCGGGCCAGGAGCAAGTGCTCACTGCGCTAGGGCTGCTCCGGAGAGCCGCGGAGCCCAGCGCGCATGGCTGGAGCGCACAGGACAAGCCCCGTGCCCTACGGGTCCGGACAGCGGCGGCCGGGAAACGCAGGTGAGGATGCGGCGTCCAGCGTGGGCTCGGCGACTCTGACTCTTGCCCGGCTCGGCGGGGCTCGGCGGGGTTCGGCTTGCAGTGAGGGGGCCGGTTTCTGCTATGCGCTCCGCTCTGCTCTCCTGCCGCTCTCTGGCTGCCGTGCAGAGTGGGGACCCAGCTACCCTGACGTAAGTAGTCCAGGGCTGAGATGCGGAGGCGGCGAGGCAACGCACGCTGCCATCACTCGGGAGACGGGAGACGGCGCCCTCAAGTCATCAGCCTTCCTTACTCCTCCTTTAGGGCGGTGTCGCTGGAAGAAATGGCAAGGCGCCTTTCTTTCCGGCGGTGCCTGGAAGCCACAAGTGGGCGCAGCGGGCACAGCCGGGAGCCCAGCCCTTCAGACACACCCATCGCAGGCTCCTCTCACGCGCCTCCCACCAACCACACACGAACCCTCACGGGCGCACTTATGGACGCACACGGGCACCTCCGCATGGCCACAAAGGCGCCCAGAATCTTGATGCTAGCAAGGTCCTCAAGAGTCACGGAATCTATCCCCCTACCTGCAAGCAGGACCAGACCTCAGTCACCAAGGAGAAACTCAGTCCCATGTGGCCCTGTGCAGAGGACTTTCTGAGTGCCCTCCCGAGCTACTTCTTCAGAATAAATTTCCCTTCTAAGAAGTCTTTCGTTCACCTAGCCTGAGGACTCCAAGTTGTTATAGAGGCTCCGGAAAAACACCACACCAACTCTTTTAATGACTCTGAAAAGCCCTCAGGATCTAGTACAAGAGTCTATTAGCCTCAGCCCCCTTTTTCCACCCAGGAAATGCCTGGCCCTTGTCTTCTGTATAAAGTTCATTTAGATATGCAAGTGCTGAACACCCAGCACTTGGTAGGAACCCTGGTGCACTCCGCTCCCACTCCCAGCTGGCCACAACCAGTCAGATCCCTGGACAGGGGCCTGTGGACATCCAAAGCTCCTTCCTACTGAAATGGATTTAGTTTAAAACAAACAAACAAACAAACAAACAAACACCTCCAAAGACATTCCGAGCTGAAGTCTCAACTAAGTTGTGACACCAGATTTAGAGAAGAATTCTCTCTAGTGCATCATGGGAGGATAAAGGAAGGATACTTCTGTGTATCGGGAAGACCTCCAGCTCAGAAATCAAAAGTTCTGTCTTCTGGGTTCTGCTCTTGCCCTGAGCAGCTATGTGACTTTGGGCAGGTTGTCTCCTGCTCAGGCCCTCCCTGATGTGGAGAATACACCTGGTCAAGCCTGGGGGTAGAGTGCACCCACAAGCTGATGCCAGTGTCTGGCAGAGCACTAGTATCTCAGGAACAAACTTGTGCCCTCCTGAGAGTATTGCTTTGAAGAAAACATTCATTTATCAGATACTGTGCTCTCGTGGGTTACTTTAAATCCATTTTGCGTCTCTGTGGTCACTCTGAGCCACTTCCCCCACCCCACCCCCCATTGCTTCAGTCTCTTCCCTCATCAGTGTGTTTCCCAGGGATTAACAGAATACCTGGCTCCTGGTAGGTCTCCAGTACATATTTGTAGAAAAGATGACTAAACTGAGCTTGAAGCAAACTTTACCCAGGAGACAAGTGGGAAAAGGAATTCATTTTACTGAACACTTGCTATGATGCATCAGGCACTTTGCATGCATTCTTTCACTTACCTCTCCCAACAGCCCTACAGATTAGCAATTCCCCCATTATACAGATGAGAAAAAAAGATCCTAATAGTAATGAGAAGATAGTCACTGATGATGTGAATCACTCAGGGGGAGCAGAAGCCAGGTGGATGAGGAGGTGTGTCAAATGCATTTGAAAATGCGTGTTGCTTACCAGTGTTCTCCACCCATATGACAGGGCCAGGCTCCTCCTCACACCCAGTCCAGGGGCTGGCAGTGAGTGCAGCATTGACAACTAGCTCCTGGCCACCATCTTCACTGGTTTTTGGGTTCTAGGAACCCTCTGTTTCCTTCTCTAGTGCCATACCTAGAGCTGGTGAGCCACAGTGACACCACCTGGTTCCAATCCTGGCTTTGCAACTTCGTGCCTGTGTGACCTTGGACAAATTGCTTCACCTCTCTGAGCCTCAGTCTCCACGTGTGTAAAATAAGAATGACAAAAGTACCTACCTCAGAATTATTTGGAGATTAATGAGTGAGTTAATATAAAGTCCTTAGCACAACAGCTGGCTCAGTAAAGGTTAGTTATTATTATTAATATTGACAATTTGGACTTCCACCATCATGCTTAAGACCATTAAGATGAATGAGATATGTGGGCAGTAAGCAGGGTTTGGGAGGTGAGTTTATGATTTATAAAAGAGAGAGACCTAAAGATCACCCACACACTTTATCTTTCTCTAAAGTAGAGAAAGGGGTCCACACTGTCCTTCCCACGTTCCCCTCTGGCTGCCCTGTTCTGGCTTCCTGCCCTCCGTCAAGGCTGACCAGAGTGTTTCTGGTCACCAGCTTAACATAGACAAACAATTTCAGGCAGATACTCACTCTGTTTGAATTCCCCAGCCCTGCAGACCATCATCCCCAAATCCCAGTGTTCTTGGCCCTGCAGGATCTGGGCAGAGAAGAAGCAAGGAGAAAATGTGTGAGACTTCCTCGCAGATTTTCATTCTTGCAGACTTCAGGCAAAGCAACCTGTCCTGGAGATCAGCATTCTCAGGAGCACCTACAACCCTGTAGAGAAGAGGATTTCTTCCAAGGCCAGCCCTCCACCAGGGTCAGGGACAGCTGCAGCTAGAGAAGACAGAGCAAGCAGCCTCCCATCACAGACTACATAAGTCACGAGGTCCTTTCCCTGCCCTTCTTCCCTCTCTCCATCCCTCCTCTCCTCCCACAGTGACAGAGCCAGAGTGGCCTGCTGGAGTATTTGACACACCTCCTCATCCACCCGGCTTCTGTTCCCCATGAGTGATTCACATCATCAGTGACTATCTTCTCATTACTATTCAGATCTTTATTAGCATATTGTCTTCCATTTTGACCATAGTTTTACATTTCAAAGCCCAATGATGACTCAAATCTGCCCAAAATTGCCCTTATTAATCCAGCCTACATTTACTTCACCAGCATTCATTGACAACCAGTCACCGCCAACTTTACACCCGCCGAACCCCTTGTGGTTTATGACATAGTTTGACACAATCACAGGCTGTTTTGTTTGCTGCTTTAATAGCCAGCAATGGGTACCCTCCTCATTCATCTGCACTACAGTGTCTTCGACTTGGGATGCTTATCTCTACTCATCTGTCTAGACTCATCCCTAATTATCCTTCAAGTCTCAGCTAAGTGTCACCTTCTTGTCCAAAGTCTTCCTTGAACCCTCCCCAAGAAGAGTTGACAATTCCTGAGGATAAAGGGTACTTTGAATGTACATACCCCTGCCATCATGTATCATGATTAAATGTTTGTTTACTTGTTAGCCTCTCCCAATCAGCTTTGAACTCACATAGGGCAGAAATCAGGTCATTCATTCATTCATGCAATATGTCATTCATTTGTTCAACACATATTTATTGACTTCCATTGTGCTACATGCTGAGTGTGCAGTGGTGAATAATACAGGGATGGTTCTCCTCCATTCTAGCTGTCCTGCAAGTCTTCCTTGAACTCCCCCACCTCTCTCTACTTGTGTCCTTGGGTCTGTATCTGAACTGCCACTATCTGGCATAGCTGTTTATCGGCATGCATTCTTTGAATTAGGCCTGTGCCCCCAACTAGACTCTAAGCTCTTTAGAGACATCATCTTGAATACATTGGTCAATCTCTTGGCTCCATCCACAAGGGGAAGGGCAGCATGACATAAAAGACCACATCATACAAGGCCTTGGAGTCCAAGTTAAAAGATGTGGCTTTTATCCTAAACACAATTGAGAGACTCTAAAGGAGTTTTAAGCAAAGGAATGACATGCTGTGCATTTTTCAAAGTTTACCCTGGCTGCTGTGATGAATTGTGTGGGGGAGAGAGTAGAAATGAAGAAACTAGTCTAGAAGCTATTGCATTATCCAGTCAAGAGGTAATGGTGGTTTGGCGTCAGTTAGTAGAAGAGAAGTGGGTGAATTCTAGATGTATTCTGAACATGGAATACAGGGGCCTTGCTAATGGATTTGAGAAGAAAGTTAAGAGGGGGAGGAGAAATCAGGGTTAACTCCTTAGATATGGCTTAAGCAATTGGGTGAATGAACATGAGAAAGGGGATCTTTGAGGAAGAACAATGTATTGCAAGAGATGGAAGGTGGGAGGTAAAAGGATGTATGAGTTCACTTTGGTAAATATTAAGTTTGAGATGCCAGTAAAATATCTAATGAAATCACTATGTGGGCAGTAGACTCAGAGGTGAGGTCAAAAATGGAGATAAACATCAGAGAGTCCTCAGGATACAGATAATATTTGTACCCATGGGAATGAAGAATGAGGAATTGGTAGAGGGAGAGGGAAACTCAGTTTCATGAAGAACAACCCCTCCACCCCAGCCATCACAAAGCTGAGTAAAGGAGAAAGGGAAATCTTCACCAGAGACTGAGAAGCAGCACCAGACTAAGTAGGAAATTTAGGAGAGTGGTTTACAGAGGAGAGCATCTCAAGAAGGAAGATATGATCATTATTTAGAAACATGCTAAGAGACAG